TTTTTTTTTTTTTTTTTTTTAAGCTCACCAAAAGTTTAAACAGACAAACTTGCTGCAGAAACCCCTGCGCGTGAAAACCCTCTGCTGCCTCATCATGCCATGGTGTTTTCAGCGACACTGCGTGCGTAAACCAGTCCACTCTGTTTGTTTGCACGCTGCGCTCTCTTGTTGTATTTTGCGCGTAATTGTGCCTGCAACGGTGACCTGTCACGTGAAGAAAACTGTGAGGAAAAAAGTGAATCCCAGCGACGAAATGAAAAAGTATGAATGAATAATTGACTTACCGCATACTGCCGCTGTTTTTAAAGACAGTTGGATAGTGCATTGGCTACAGTGAGCTCGTGAGCAGCCCAAAGAACCGGGTTTGGCAACGACGCCTACGAATAGCTCCTAAGACGCTGCCTGCACTTTCTGACGTAACGCCGGGTTGTTGTATTTTTTTTTCCTTCTTCTTCTTCAGAGGGACGGCAGAGAGGAAAATGGGGGATGAAAAGAGAGGTATGGAGTCTTGGAGTTGCCAGCCTGGGGTGAGAAAGCCGTGGACATCCTGAGAGAGGAACTCCCCTTCTCATCCTTACGCGTGAGCAATTATTTTCCCTGCGCTCGCCGTGCGTAAGAACACTCCAGAGTTGCCATTTAGTAATGTGAAAGACTGTAAGGTGGCCTCAGTTAGACATTAATGTTGGGGCTCTTGGCTTGCCTCTTTCACTCTTTCTCATGTGATGGGTACAGGTGTCCAAATCATCATCAACAATCCACTTAAAAGGTGCGTTTAGTGTTGAAAATCAAATCAGTTTGGACATTAAAATGCATTTAGAGTTAAAAACAATGACTCCATCAGACAAATGTTAGCACAAAAATAAAAAAAAATATATATTATTTTTGATCAGTCTGCTTTGACAACTTTGGTCGTTTTAAAAACAAAAACAGATGAAATGCTTGACATAAACCAGAAAATCTCATTCAGTTAAAGCTAAAATTCAGGCGTCTGTATCTCGGGCTAACTATGAACTGCAATGTCCATCTTCCACCCAGACTTTGCCCTTGAATTGATCTGAATCTGTAAGACAAGCTTTGTCCCTCATGCAACATATCTTTTAATCAGTGCAACTCAAAATGTTATGCACGCTTGTTTACAGTGTGCTAAGGTCAAGACACACTTTAGAAATGTTTTATAACTTAAACAGGAGAAGAAGCTGCAATAAAAATGATCATGAAACACATAACATGTATTCAAATTTATGTCGGTGTCATGTATAGAAAAAAATAATCTAATATTCTATGAGGTTTGCCATCTTGGAGTTGCGTGCAGTGTTTACTTGTGGCTGAAGGGCAGCTGGAGATGGTGGGACTTGTCAAAAAATGCATTAAGACTGACAGCATCCATTGTGTCTGGAGGTATAATATCAAAATAGTGCAAACTTACTTGTGCTGTCGTCACTTAAGCATATTGAGTCAATGCATGAAAAGTGGCATGAAAAGAATACAACCATATCCTCTGTTCAAACTTTCTATAACCTAAATTATACACTAACAATGTTGCCTGTTTGTAGTTCGAGGTCTTTAGCAGTTCTGTGCACCAGATACCCTTAGAGTGTCGGCTGACATGCCTTGAAGATCAGTTCCCCCTGTCCCTGTTTATGCATTTCAGCCCCCCAATCCATCACATAACTCTGGCAGGGGCAGAGACACTGGATAAGGCTGTGGGAACCTGTATGAGCACTTAATCTAAACACCATATTCAAACTGTTGAAGAAAAAGAAATAAAACTCTGAACATCACTGCAGGAATCAAATATTGTAATGCTGATACTGCAGGGTGGGAAAAAAAAACACAGATTTGTCTTTATGTGTGTGCTTCTTACAAAAAAACAGTGATGCTTTCATCTGCACAAAGTTGTTTTAGCACAAGAGACAAAGAGGAGAGTCACAAAAGGTCCACAGACAGTTAGTGTGTAAACTGTCATGTGATGGAGGCTCAATAGTGAATGAATGAAAGTGTTTAGTGTCTTTGGGGACATTTTAAAGCCCGTTTTGCCTCAAACTATTTTCAACGCTGCTTTTAAGAAAATGCTATTGTGCACATGCATATTCTCCATAGATGAATGAGTGTTTGCGCGGGTATCGCGTTAAATTCAGATCAGAACTTCAAGTTCAGCACAGGCCTTGCAGCAGCCGTGCTCCTGGGTCAGAGGTCAAAATTATGACTTCAACGGAACATCCAGGGGGGAGAGTCTAATTTTACACACCGTCCAGATTGCCCATGACCCTCGCTGCTATTAATAGTTAGAGGACTGCTGCATGGCATGCGCCCACTGCTTCGGAGTGTGTGAGCATCAAGCGTGAAAAAGCAGAAGAATCTGACCTGAAATGGCTACTACTTTTGACTACTTATTTAGCTATGGCAAAGTGGCCAGAGTTTAATTAGGTGAGGTGTGGACAGGCTAATGGTTTATGTTTTATGTGTCAGAATGGACTTGTAGCCACATTCAGGCTCCTGCTAATTCTGAGTGGCAGTGATCACCTTGGCATTAATTTATTTAAAAAGTAACGGGACTATGAAGGCCAACATAATCTAGAAATAATACTCAAAACAGAGAAAGACATTTTAATTTATAAAATTAAAACAATTCTTAGCATTGTGACATTAGCATCTAATAACATATTCAGTTTGCTTCTTTGTATTTTTAAAGCTCTAATTACCCCCCCCCCCCCCGCCTTTAATTAATCACAACTATCCAATAAAGATAAGTGTGATGATTTACTGACAGACTGAAAGGCTGTTTAAAAAGTGGTTGTACTTAAATGCTAAATGCAAGTACAGTAAGTTATATGTTGCTTGTGAAATTATTACTTTTTGTGATAAACCAAAGCATCTTCTTTTGGACATATTAGATTAAAATGTACAATATAAATGTCAAGATGTGCTCAGTAGGACTTAACTAGCAGCTTATTGTTGACCCAAAAAATCACCAGATACAAAGCGTGCTAAAAGTTTTTAATTTCTTTCATAGACAGTTTAAGATGTGCTCTGATGTCTAGGTTGAAAACTACGAGATCA